GAATTGTCTTTGTAACATTTCAGAAGAACTCTCAACTCCTGTAGATATAAAAGACAACAGTTAAAAAAATGCAACTATCAAAAAAAAAAAAAACAACAACTTCCTTTCCATAACTGTGACGGTTCTGGTTTATTGATGATTTTATTGCTATTATTTTTGATTAATTTATGTTGGGTGCCAGCCAAGTTTCCTTCCTGACGTGTAGGATATTTTAACAAATTTATGGGTTTTAATAGTCATTTTAAATTATGGTTTAGAGTTGTTTGTTTATAACCATACACACAAGGACATACATTTATAATAAATAAAAACATATACCCTTTTCAACTTTAAATAAATAATAAGTGACAAAATGTTTAACAAAGGAAGCGAGCACAGACAAATGTAATTAAGTTCTGTTCAAATACACTTAACAAAAAATATAAACGCCCCATGTCAAGTACAAGAGTTTTATGAACATTTTTGTTACGYAACATATAGAGAAACTCAYAATATATTCAGTAATTACTGATCTTCAYATCGGCATTGATAACATTGTGKTATGGCCATTTGTAGTGGATTGACAGTCCTTTGAACACAATAGGGGTCAGGTTGAGGAATCTGATTTTTCAGTATCTTGTGTGTCCGCCAGCTGCGTTTTTCAGAGCAACAYATCTTCTTCACATGGGGACATGTCTGGTGAATATGCAGGCCAGTCCAGAACTTCAATGTCCTCTYTTTGAAGGAATTCGTTGCAGCTACTGCTCTGGTAGACATCCCTGCATCCAACATGCCAATGGCACGCTCCCGCATAACTTGCGACATCTGAGGCATTATGACATGTGACAAAATTGACATTTTGGGGTGACCTTTTATGGACCCCAGTCTAAGGATTGTCCAGCTGTTGCTCATTTTGTCTGCTCACCCACTGGACATGCCCCACCCATGCATTGAGTAAAAAAACAACTCACTGAGTAATGCTCACTTGACCGCAAGTTTTGTCAAAAAATTATGCACAAATCAAGAGAAATATTACCTTTGTACAATAAAATGTCAGCAAATGCTCATTTACTGTTGTTAACTCACCATGGCAACAATATTTGACATGGGGTGTTTATATTTTTTTTAAGTGTAATTATGCAAAGGACCTGTTGCATTTTCTTAGCAAAAAAGAGCTTGTGAACTGTTGAGGCTTTTAGCAGTAACTTTAAAGAGGACAGAAGGTCAGAATAAGGGGTCACAAAAACAACTAGTTGAATATTCTGGAAAAGATTACATCATCAGTGGTCCACAAAAATACTTCGTGAGTGTGTATTGGGTGGTGTTATATTTCCACCCATTCTGGGAAGGTCCATCCTTTCCTGGCTCTGGTTTAACACAAACAACTTGGGTATAAAAGCTCTGGTTTTATAAATATGTCAGTTCAGTTTGGAAGGTCTGGGGTCTCATTTATAAAGGATTGCGTGGAAACCATACTAAAAGTGAACGTACGGCCAAAAGGTGGAAATGGCG